CGTTGGGGATACTGATGAGATCTAGGAGAGAGAGAAACTGGAGTCCATTCTGAATGAGAATGCCTATGGGGGGCTAAGGATAGGTTAAATTTACTTGCATCGTGAGGTCTACTAACAAGATTGTGGGAAAAACTCTGCGCCTTGTCCTTAAATCGTGTTAAGCGACCTAAGGTGACCAAGTTCATACTGGCTTCTTGATGGTCTGAGACTCCTAAGCTGTAGAATGTATCCATATTTCGAGCATGGATTCTGTTTGTATTCCTGGGGATTCGGCCTCCTTACCGACCTTGCCAGGAGATTTGGTCGCAAATTATCACGCCGCTGCAGCAGGAAGGTCAGATGGTCAATCTCAGGAGTACACTTTGTCTTCACTATGCCTCAGCGTACATACATTGTAAACTCCTTTGGCCAGCTCATGCACTGTTGGTCGCTTCACGCCCTAAGCCCCCTCATGCTCGTCTCTTCCCATCCCAGCCGTACAGGCAGCGTGTCAATGCGTGTGCAATTTGGGTGTAGTTTCGGCCAAGTCACCTGGCCCCCAGTTAGGCTCGTTGCCCCACTCTTTTGATAGATATGTGGCAACACCTGTTTTGATGCTATCTTGTCTTTCTTGCCTTTTAGAAGTAGCACAAGAATTGCCACCTATGCCGATTCGCGAAGGTAAGTCTGGCAAAAAACAGTCATCTGCATGGGTTTGCCTAATCTTAAGGAGAAATTCTTTAGTATCATCAGGCGGCTCTTGTTTCAACCGCCAATTTTAGACGACATTGTTTGTCAAATAGGCCAGAAAAGTCAGTAGCACATGTGACTCTTAGCAGCCTGGGACTGGTTGGCATATAAATTCATGAGATGATCTGCTCCTGGCCTCCCTTACCCGGAATGTCTTAGTTAAGGCCTTATTTTAGGTTGTGTATAGGAGTACCAACGCCGAATATTGTAAAAATGGATACTTTATCCATCATAAGTATGATAAACACTATTTCATTTTCCTCTTCTCATAGAGGTCAACCTATTCATTGGACTACAAATTATTAAGTAAACTTAAGGGAAAACTGTGGAGAGCGAAGCTCTCTACCTAGTTCTTGCAGGTGTGAATGAGGCACAGTCATAAAATGGCTTGTAGGAAATAGCTCTTGTCGGCAATAAATTACTTTCAGCTTAAAAATAAACTTTGGCGTATCTGCCGAATCACTGCACTACTTAGGCATTTTGCGATAATAGCCTTTTCTTGATCAGCCTCATTTCCTTTATTTTCATTTCCTGCCTTTTTCCTCTTCCTTACTTGTGTGCATGTCGGAATGTGCGCATGCGCGCCATTGATGAGCATCTTTTTTCAAGACTAACCGTCACTACTTTGCCAAATTATACTTTGTTCTCTAGAGCCGATTCAGATGGTGCAGGCGCAACGACCACCAGAGCGTTCTCAGCCTTGGAAACCAGGTTTGCCGCATTCTTGAAGAGCACGAGGCCAAGACCCTGCCTCAGCCAATTAATGCTGCTGCATGTGGAGGGGTCCCTTGCTTGTGCCTTTGTTAATTTGACATTGAATGAGCCTCCTTTTTTATTTTTGCCAGAAGGCCTAAAATCATGTTGGTCTGTTCTTGCCAGAGGTGTTTTTGACAGTTTTTGACAAGTAAAATGTGAGCAAAAGTGTGTAGGTGGTGTGTGCGGTTTTACGCCCCAATTACTGAACAATAAGTTCCTAAATTCATTAATAATGTACGCCAACCAAAATGCATAGGCGGCTCACACATCTTTTCTTTGCTTCTATTTTCAAAATCTCCCCAGCTTGAAAAAGAAGATAGATCACAACTC